TGATAAAAAAATAAAAAAAAAAGTTTGCCTTTTTTTTTTTTTTTTTTTTTTTTACTTTAGTGTATTGAGTATATCGTTACAATAAATTACTTGCTAATTATAAAAACATTAATGAAAACATTAAAGCAATGCCAAAATTGTAATAGTATATATTATTTATAAAAACAATGTTCTTTGTTTTTTATTAACAATATTTTAAAATATTGTGATATATTTATAATATTTTATAATATTAATACTATTCTAATAAATAAATAAATATATATATATATATATATATATACATTTTAGTAATCTATTTTTTTATTAATAATATTAATAAAAATATATAAAATATATTACATTTATATTGGTTTTGTGTGTTTTATTAATAATATTATAATATTATTCTATGAATATTTACTCTTATTAATAATATATCTGTATGATTACAATTTTGGTTCCACATAACGTCTTTATTAATATTTAAATAATTAATGAATAAATGATCCTAAATATATATCAACAACATACTAGACAAAACCAATAAAAATGTTTGGTAATATATTTTAAAATATTTTTTTAATATAACATTAATAATTTGGGTCATTAATTGCACTGCACTGAATTGAGTAATCAAGTATTATAATTAAGTAATGTACACTTGAGGGAAGTCGTGGCCTAATGGTTAGAGAGTCGGACTCGTAACCCAAAGGTTGCGGGTTCGAGTCTCGTACCTGCAGGGATTGTGGGGGGAGTGAATGTACAGTGCTCTCTCCCGCCTTCAATGCCACGACTGAGGTGCCCTTGAGCAAGGCACTGTACCCCCAACTGCTCCCCGGGTGCCGCAGCATAAATGGCTGCCCACTGCTCCGGATGTGTGTTCACGGTGTGTGTGTGTGTGTGTTCACTGCTGTGTGTGTGCACTTTGGATGGGATAAATGCAGAGCACTAATTCCTAGTATGGGTCACCATACTTGGCCACATGTCACTTCAATTCACTTCACTTGTTCTGTTTATTTGAAGTTTCTGGTTGAACAGGACCGATTAGACTGACTGACTGATAAGTTTGAGACTGATTTTTGTCTATAAATATAAATTGACTTTATAATTAGAGTATTTTACTACTGTTTTATCTACATTACCAGAAGAATGACATTAGAGAACCAAATCATTCAGTTCCAGTGTTCTTTTAAAAATCGAAATGGTTCCAAATAAGAACCGGTTCTCAGTTCCGTAGTTCTCTGGAATATCATTTGATGGGAATCATAATGGTGAAAATGGCGTAAATCAGGTCTGTTTTTGCTTTGTCGTCTGCTCAAGGTCAGTAGATCGAGCTGTTCAGCAGGACGCAGATGTTTCTGCTGCAGATATCGAGCAGTTTCAGCTCTCACAGTGAATCTGACTCATGTCAGCGCGGCCTGCGTTCCATTTATCCCTCATGATTATGATTGGAAAAAGAGAGGGATGCATTAAATGCTCTTATTTACGCACGCAGGCCGCTCGCTGCGCTCTGGATTTACCCGACATGCATGCTTCAGAGAGAGTGTTTTTATTTTAAAACTCACGTCTGTACGATTACCCAGCATTTTCATTATCATTATCCTTATCCTTTTTTATTTTTTTAATGGAGTTCAATGAGCAGAGATTAGCTAATGGACCCAGAGTGTATTGCATTGGGGCAAATCTTATGTGTGTGCGTCACGTTCACCGGTGTGAAAATCAGCAGGGTTCGCTCACAGAGTAATGGCTCTGATTTAATACTGGATCGCTCGGATCCAGCTTGATGTCTCATTATAGTGGATAAAGAGGCAGAGCTCGAAAGCAAACGCTCACTTTTTTCATTTTTCATTAATTTTCCCATAAGCCTAACTAAACTGACTGGTTCAGAAATAAATCGCAATTTCTTTTGAAGTAAAACATTTGCAGAATGAATTAATTTATAATCTTGTAAGGATTTAAGATGATTCGGTCAAATCTGTCTGGGTTTTTGTGTTTTTATTGTACTGAAAAGGAATTATTTAGGCCTAAATGTACGATTTTGTATTTGTATTTTATTAAAAATGTATATCCTTTTAAATAATAATACAAAATAATAAACTTAATGTAATGCACATTTGTCAGTCATAAATTAAACCTTTCTGTAATATTACTAGAAAACAGAATATATTTTAAATACACATTAACAAGGTTTATATTTTTATCATCAATATATTTTTTGTTTTAATCTCAATAATGATGACTAACTATATTTTAAACATGTTCATGCTTTTCCACTGAGAAACTGTTTTCACAATTGATTTATGCTGATTTTATTAAATTTTTTACATTTATTAAATCAAATGAATGGATTTTTAATTTTAAAAAAATAATGTGTATTTTTTAATTATTACTTTTTTTTTTTTTTTTTTGCAAAAAGCTTACCTATTTCTTAGCTGTTTCTTAAATGTTTCTTAAATCTTATGTGTGTTCCTATTTTATTTTTTTTCTCTTTTGAACAGCTACATTATGTTAGAAGATCTTTGTAACTTTTGTAATGTTTTCCCAAGTGAAAAGTGTTGGGCAGGGCTTCATTTCTATCCATTGCAATTTGACTGGATGATGAAAAGTGTCCTTGATGACATCATCTGACAAGGAAAGTTGTTTCATAGGTGGAGCAAGTAATTATATGCTGTTGTAAGGTTATTATTATTTGTTTTTTCATTTGAATAACATGCACAATAACACCAGAAATATGTTGTTAATAAACTGTTTTTATTTCATATTCACTTCACATAGCTACTTTCTCCTACATAACCAATAAACAATTCTGTTTAATGAAGTTGACAGAAGCATATGTCATTGCTAAGAGCACTTGATTTGTCTTTAACGGTTCATACATTTTCACCAAAACTGATTTTGAAGGGTATTTTTTTACTTCCGGAACAAGTTGAGCTTTATTATCCCACAGATTAATTTTTGAGCGCGCCGCTCCGGATCTGCACTTTACTGTATGAGCTGGCAGATTAGCACAGATATGTGACTATTAATAGACGGTGTGTGCAGAAACACAGGTGCATTTCCCGTCCTGACACCTGTGTGCTGACCGGATGACTCGCAATCACACTGCATTTATCTTATATGCTGCAAGGACGTGGCGATTTTGCTTTGTTCTGCATTAATGAGGTTGTGATGCTCACATTGTCAGGTGTAGAGGGTCTAAACGAGAGTTTTAACTCTGTGCTGTTCTGAAAATCCTTTATCTAATTTCATGTTCCCAGGCAAAAATTACCAGCCTTTCAAAAATTGCTTGTAAATCTCTTTTTATGCTATATTATTAGCAAATCTTGGATTCCATCTTTTTGTCACCTTGTTTTCTTTTTTTTAGCACAGGTTTTGTATTTCTTTTTTAAACGGATTGATCGTAGGCCTCATTGATCTGAGCTCATGCACCTCAGTTTTTGAATAAAAATTATATACATTTTGGCAATATTCACTCAAAACGGAGGTGCATGAGCTCATATTTGGTATTAATAAAGCATAATTTTGACCAACACCTCAAGTATAACTAGGAGTAAAAATATGAACATGATTTTAGAATATAGCATAATAATAATAATAATAATTATTATTATTATTATTAGTAGTAGTAGTAGTAGTATTTTTGTTTATTATTTATTTATTTAATAATTATATTTTTTAGTGATTAGACAACCAAACTGCAACTATTATTCATATTTAATAATTACAAAAATAACATTATTAGTAGTAGTAGTAGTAGTAGTATATAAAATAACAAATCATTTTGAATTTCATTATATTATGATGAAAATCAATACCGTGGTTGTTATTATTATAAAAAAATATTACAATGATAAATAAAAATTATTAATTACAACAAAAAATAGTCCAATAATTTTTGTATAGTTACGTTTTTTAGTAACAATTTTTGCCTTACACCACCAGTGTAACAAGGTGGGAAAAGTCAGAAAAAGTACAGAAATTATTTATACTGATTTTTGGGGAAGTTGTTATACCCTGTGTTAACAAAGTCAGTAGGTTTTAGTCCAATGCGATGACATTGACTAGCATTTTGAAGAAATGAAAATCCTCTCCGGGTCAAAATGACCCGAACACAACCGTTTAAGTCTGTAGGATAACTCACATGTGGCACGTCTGTCATATGAAGTGTTAAACAGATAGTTTGTCTGTTTCTAGACGATGCTCTCTGCCCTTCAGATGGACTTACGGGTGGAATTACACCCGTCTCCGCTGGTTTGTCGTAGTCAAGGACGCTGCAGCAGTGTGGAAATATCCCACACGTCACTGTCTCACCGCAGACAAACACAGATACATGCATTCATGCTCAATACTTTCATGTGTTTAAAGGGTTCAGGCTTCATGTCGGGGTCCTGATCTCCCCGTCTGGGCTGTTTTTGTTTGCATTACTCAAATATAATACAGACATACAG